ATTGAACACCCACTGTGTGCATGACATTGTACCATAAGGTGGCCAGATGTCCTTGGTTTCAGAAGATTTTGTCTTTCTCCCTGACTAAAATTTATCTCCTAAGTCTCTGTTTTTAGGGAATAGTCCAAAGGAAAAAGCTCCAGGCTGAACAAGTCACCTCTAGAAGGAGAGAGGGGCAGGGTAGAATAGGACATTCTTTTGCTCTGTTCAGGTCAACCTGCCTCCAAGGACTAATATTCATAGTACTAGAACCATTTCTAAAATGATTTAAGGTTTACAAAATGCTTTACAAATTCTATCTCATTTGATTCTCACAACAGTCTTGTATGGTTGGTGTTATTACAATCCCCATTTCATAGATAAGGAAACTGAGGCTGAGAGAGGTTAAGTTATTTGCCCAGGGTCTCACAGCTAGAAAGTGTCTGAGATAGGATATGAACTCATGTTTTCCTGACTCCAGTTCCTGGGCTCTGTCCATTATGGCACCTAGCTGCCACTGGGTTGGTATGTTCATTCTGTAAAAGGGCTCATCATTTATTATTTTAATGTTTTTCCCCTTTTTTTGGGTGACCTTAACAATTATCAACAAATGCAGCCATGGGTTACTAGGTAGTGATGTACACCTTTTATTATATCCCTTTCCTTTTGTTCAATAAAACTACCATTCAAAAGCCCCACCTTCTCACTCTTCCAATATAAGTTCAGTTTACTCAATGCATTAATTAGTCAAGTTTATTAAAGGAATTATTTTTCCAGATCTACATGGAACTAGAGCCTCTTAAATATAATATGCAAATGTATACAGTATCAGATTATTACCAGATTAACTAAAATACTAATAACCTTTGGTACTAAGTACTGGGGAGTCTTGACAGTGTTTTGAAAGGTCATGATCCCTAGCCCCAAGAAACTTAACATCTAAAGGGAAGCCAAGACAGATAAATGTAAATTTGACTAACAAAAGGAAGAAAGAGATAACTGCATATACTAGCACAATACTCAATTTTTTCCTGGGAGAGTTAGCTCTGTTCACGCGAAGCTACAGATCACTACTTTCTAAGTCTCCTTTTAAGCCACGAATCCTGATCAGAAGTCCTAATTAGATGATGGAAGAATAAGAAGTCAGTACTGTATGCAAAATTTTAGCTAACTTCTAGGACAACAATAATTATTGCTATGATTGATCCAGAGAGTTACATTTTGGTTCTGTTTCACTATATTATTACTAAATCTTAAAGTACACTCAGCATTAGCAAGCTAGCCACTAGTTATAATTTTTTGGCCTATCTATGTAATCTATAGGTATGCACAATGCATGTGTACATTTTGGAGAAAAACGACAAACTACTCCAGTATCTTTGCCAAGAAAACTCCAGGACAGTAAGCTTGGACAGACTTCAGGAGACAGTGGAGGACAGAAGAGCCTGACATGCTGTGGTCCTCGGGGTCATGAAGAGCTAAACATGACTGGATAACTGAACAACAACAAATGTTTAAAATTTATTCATATAGACACATACATGATAGTAGCACACTGGACTGGATATCATGGTAACTGGGTTCTAGGGCCAGCTGTGCTGCTAACTAAGCAACAGAAGATTAGGCGTAGTAGGAGGGAGGCCAAATGGTGAGAAATGAGTGGGAATAATGACTGGTATTTAAGGGGATAGCATGAATACTTATGGAGATGGTGCAATTTGGAAGTTGACTACATTTGAATGTGAAAGATCAAGAATTCAAGATGGTGCCAAGATTGTGGGTGGGGTACCTAGACAGACATTACTGGCTATGATGGATGCAGAGGTGAAAGAGTATTATTCTAAGCGCAGTACATAATACTAATTGGAGAAAAAGGAGATAAAATGAACACATGATTCATTTTTTTCAAAAGGCTCACTGAACAATAATAACAGTAGCAACAATAAGGCATATTTATATATATAAATCTATAATTTTTACCAAATGCTTTCTTCTCAACAACTCTACGAGTATTAATGAAGGGAAGTGACTACAGAGCCAGATTCTCTGCTTTTATCTCCTTCTTTAAATGTCAGTGTTTTTGCTGTGTTTGGACAAATCCATTTAGATAAATCTCATCTATGTAAAAGAAAAGAACTGATGGAGTGGTTTTTGTTTCCTTAAAAGATGAATTTCAGCCAACTTTTTTTCCCACTTTTTCCCCCCTCCAGGAAATTGTCAAAATGTGTGATTTTTAACTTGGAAGAAAAACAGGGCTGAAACATGTCAAACCCCTTAAAAAGCAACAACAGAAAAATTCCACACCTTTGAAAAAGTCACCAAGTAAAGGACTGGATCCCAACTGAGACAATGCAGAGAAGTACAAACGGGGGGAAAAAAAACCCTGAGACCATCTGGCCACAGGGAGGTCTTGGTCTCACTGACCACGGCCCTGAAGTCTGAGAGAAGCAAGGCTTGTAACCACTGAAGTGAAAATCAGGCACATCAAAGACAAGCAGGAATAAACATGAAATGACAAGCTTCAAAACAAAGCAGATGGGATTCATGATTGGGGTAGGGTTGGACTGGATGACCTCTGAGCTCCTTTTTAAGAAACATGCCAGTGAAGGTACTGGGGGGCTAAAGACCTGCCTATGTTACTGACTACTTGTGACATTGGGTAAGTCACTTAACTTCTTTGGACTCAGTTTCCTCATCTATAAAATAAGGGGCTTGGATTAGATGGCTTCTAAGGTCCCTTCTAGCTCTAAATATGTGATCTTAGATTATAATTTATATGGCTCTGCAAGATCTGCATTACTTCCCTGAACACGTGTGACCTTTTGACCGAATCGAAACAATCTGTTCCGTGAAGTTTGGATTCAGTCAAAGGGTCACACTGAGGACCTAAAGGGCCACATGTAGCCTCGAGGACACAGGCTCCCCACCCCTGGACTTTCTGGTTCTAAGATCTCTTTACATTCTTAAAAATAATTGGTGATCCTCCAAAGAGTTTTTGTGAATGTGGGTTATGGCTGTATTTGTCATATTAGAAGTGAAAATGTCTTAATGTTAAATTAGTTTTGACCACATAGACCCCTTGAAAGAGTTTGGGGGACTTCTAGAGTCCTTGCACCATACTTCGAGAGATGCTATTCTGACCACAAAGGGATTGACACACAAGAGGTATGGTCCTGAAAATCTTATATATAATCGATATATAAATAGAATCTTATACATTATATATAATCATACATTATTCATCTTATATCTTTTATATGATATATCATATATAATCTTTATATGTAATGTAAATCATTTCTTAAATAAATAAAATCATAGATGCATCAAAGGAGATAGTTCCTTAAAGGAAACCTTTGATGAATATAAAGTAAGCAATCAGCTCCCAATTCATACGCTCCATTAGTTTGGAATTTTTATAAAACAGACTTTATTTAAACACACACACACACACACACACACACACACACACACGCACACACTTGTAAACATAGCTTTTTGGCTACTGAGTTTATTCACAATTTAAAAATTTTCTAATGTGAAAATTCTATTTCCAGGTTGGAGATGTTTAATAGTCAAAACTGGAAAGGGTTTAAAAAGCAGATACTGAGTATGTCCAGCCTCTGTGGTTTCTTAGAGTGGAATAAATATTGATCTTGGAGTCATTAGACTTAGGTCTGAGCTTCCATATTTATCCTTAATAGCTGTCTGGCCCTGAGTATGTTACTTAGCATCTTTAAGCCTCAGTTTCTTCATCTGCAAATGGGATCATGACTCATTCTATCTTCCTTATAGGGTTGAGGTGGAAAGCATTGGAGCATTATGTAAATGTGACTAATTATTACTGCTGTTTTTATACCAAAGTTGGTGAGGATTGAGGACCAGAGCCAGAAATAGAACATTGGATAGATTATGTGGTGGCAGCTGGGGGCACATTGAATAATAGAGCACTGGGCCTGGAGTTGGGAACACCTGAGTTCAAATCCAGCCTCAGACACTTAGTAGCTGTGTGACCCAAATAAATCACTTAGCTCTGTCTGTCTCAGTTTCTTCAGAGTGAATGTAAATAGCAATTGTTTCGGCTCTGGCCAGAAACTGTGAGGGTCTTCCCTTCCCAGATTGATTCTTTTGGGAAGTCAAACTAGCCCATCTTTTGCCTCAATTCTTACCTAGCCTTTAATCACTGAATGGGTGTTGCCTGAGACAAACTGAGACCCAGCAAAGACCTTGGCTAAAAAATGCCAGAGTCTCCTATTGAATCCAGAGACTTTGCCAGTCATCCTGACCTGTCTTGCCACTGGACTCAGATGACTTTGGAGGAGAGAGTGAGGCTGATGACTTTGCACAGCCCTGCCTCACTTTAATCCAATTCACTTTCAAGTCAAGGCATCCTGATGTCATTGGTTCTCTTGGAGAATGAAGGATGAACAGCAACCAAATGAGGATAATAACAGTACCTACCTGCCATGGTTGCTGTGAGGATCAAATGAGATAATATTTGTGAAAACACTTAGCACACACAGTGCCTGGCACATAGAAAATGTAAATTATGCAGATTAAACTTAATAGTGTTCTATATGTACATTTTTTGGGGGTAGATAGTTATTAAACATTTACCATCATACCACTGAAGGGAACCTATGAACCCTCTCATTTTAATTTCAATCTATGAACCTCAAATCTTTCATTTTATAGATGAAAAACTCATGCCCAGACTGTTTAATTAGCTTGCCTAAGGCCATATGGGCAGGAAGATGCCAAAGTTAGGATTTGAGCCCACATCCTTTGACTCATGATCACTCTTTGAGTATCTTCCCATTTAGCTAGAAGTGGTCCAAAGGTGATATTTTATGGTCCATTGTTGGACTCACACTTGAAGCCTTTCTGGTTTGGCCCAACCAGCCAGAACTCAAAATTTGCTTTCACAGTTGGGAGAAACTCCAAGTGGTGATCAGGCATCAGAACAGGGCTTTTGTGATTGCTTATAACTCCTTGTTATCATTTAACAGTAACACATGTACCTGAAATTTCTGGAAGTGCAGGCTTGTTTTCTTCCCGGAAGTTCCCATCACGAAGAGGAAATCTGGGGTTAGCACAAATGGAACTCTTTCTTTGTTGATACCCAGGAAACTTTTGTAATTCCCAAGAATGTGACCAAAGTCAATATGAAATAGATTTCCTTAATGGAAAGAAACATCAGAGATCACTGTGGTAAATAACTAGCTTGCAATAGCCTGATGGGTTAATGTTGACTTCTTGGAAGGTTTCTTAATCTGCCTCAAAGCCAACTACCTGAGGAGGGACAAACTTTTTTTTTTTTACATGATTTTCATCATCTTCAACTCAATTAACTTCAACAAGCATTTAGTAAGCACTTGGTATATGCCAGACACCGAGGGTACAAAGATGAAAACAAAGCAATCACTTCCCTCAAAGGTTTTTACCAAAAAATCATAGAATCCATAACTTCCTTGAAAATTCTCTTCAAGTGCCATCTCTTCTGATCCCCCAGTTGCTAATGACTCTACAAATTACTTTGTATATAGAATGTAAGCTCCTCAAGGGCAGGGACAGTTTTTATTTCCCAGCAACTGGCATATACCCTTACTGTACTTTCTGTTGGAGAAAGAAACATGAATGCATCAAATAAATACAAAATCAATCAATCAACAAATATTTATTACATATTTACTTATATACTATACTACCTACACTTTGACTATCATCCCTATCTCTCCTCTCCCAAAACCTTGGACTCCATTCCAGGAAATGCTGGACTCTCTGCTTCCCTTTCCTCTCTATCTGCCTGGTCTCCTAAGTGTTGTCTTCTTCCATTTGAATGTGAGCCCCTTGAGAGCAGGGATTGTGTTGCTTGGGCTTATTTATATTCCCAATGGTTACAGCTTAATTAATGTTTTAACTATTTATCTATGTTCTTGGTGCTATGCTAGTTGCTGGGAAATAAAAACTGTCCCTGTCTTTGAGAACCTTACATTCTATATACAAAGTAATTTGTAGAGTCATTAGCAACTGGGGGATCACCAGAGATGGCACTTGAAGAGAATTTTCAAGGAAGTTATGGATTCTATGATTTTTTGTAAGATGTGGAAGAAATAAACAGTAAAACATGAATCAAATGTATTTCTGACATTATTCTAATATTCTTTAAGTCCACTAAATGCTATTATTGATTTCTAATTTATCATATAATTATCATTAGCAATTTATATCAGAACTCGGGATAATGTAGCCAAGTTTACATAAAGCCACAGGCTATTTTAAGTTCTATATGTTGCAGAAATGGTTTTGAGTTTATCAGTTAATAGTTTGGGTGTTGCCTCTAAACCCAACTCTGGAAGGTACTTTCAAATTTCACAAAAAACCTGAAGGAGGGTTTATTGTTAATACTAATCAAAGGGGGGTGGGGAGGATGGAACTTTGAGGAGGATATGACAAGTACCCATTTTGCCTGTGAAAATTTGTGATGGCAAAAATATAGTCTTCCTAAAGGTTTAAGAATCTTACACAAAATTCTATGTGTGATTGGACAATTCTTTTGGGAAATATCATACTTCCACGTGCTCATCTCTTAAACCAATGTTCAGGTTCATAAAAATTTACATATTAAAAAAATGAAACCAAACATTGGGCAGTTATACTAACCAAGCTTTTCATGAAGAGGAAATGAGAAAATTCACCTCCCTTCTTTGATTTGGAAAGGGCATGAAACTATGGGTACAAAACACTAAATATGCTGACAAACTCAGCGATATGTTGGTTAGTTTTGATCATCTTCCTTTCTCTTCCTCTTCATTCTTCTCTATCCTTCCCCTTCCTTTTCTATTCCTCCCCATTTTAATGGGTAGATTTTTGATGATTAGTCATAAAACAACTTTATCACAATAATATTTTTGAATGCCCAGGCAAGAATGAGCTATAATGACTTTCCATTCAAAATGTCATCAGGAAAACATGCATTTTATATTCACTGTAACTGCAGCAGTACAAAGTCTTCACTTAAAAAAATGGGATTTTAGTGAAAATTATGTAAGTGCCTAAGGCCAAGGTACTGTAGTCATGCTTTCAGATGGCTTCCCACTTTTCAGAGAAAAGAGAGATAATCAGTAGCTGAGGATGAGCCATGCTCTTCTATGTAAAAAAGCAGGGTACAGTTAAAAGGAAAGATAAACATGGAACTAATAGTTTTCTGAAAATAAAAGATGTGTTTACTTGTAGTAGTATTATTTTCACCAGTTTGACAGGACATAAAAATTGCTGTTGCCTCTAAAACTCATTAAAATGAAAGTTTATTACTATAGCATACAGAAGCCCACACGGTTTTGTTGATTGGTTTTATTGTTTTACATAAAGCAAATGTTTGGCTTACACTACATTTGCAATCAATAACAAATGTGTGTGTTGTACAAATCAGGTTCCTGGTTCCAAGGCAGACTGTAAATACTGCTTTGTCTGCAGTTATCCCTTCTGTTGGAATTTTATTTGAATACAAACATTCTTAATATCATTTGACATATTTTGCTGAATGTATTTGTGATAATTTTGGAAGGGGGAATATAAAGAGTGTTTTTTGGCTATTTTTGCTAGATTTAAGCTCTGGAGGGGACTTATATGGGTCTCTTCATCTTACAATTCTGTGGTATGTGAATGCTACGTAGACTATAAAGAACTATGGTTTGATCTATGATTTGTCAGATCTAAACTTAACTAATTGAATGGTGGCTCAAAAATTCATTCAAGTTGCCTCACAGGTGCTGATAATTTAAAGTCTGGGACCTTCTTCTTGGAGCATAGAGTGAACCCAGAAAAAGGTATCTTCAATTTAATCCCTTAAAAGTAAGTGCCTATTATAGAAATCAGCTTAGCTTGAAAATTTCCATTTTGAAAACTGTCATTTTCATGAGGCTTGAAATAAGGAAGTACATATTCCAATCACCTCTCACCCCATCCCTTCTGTAACCTCAAGCTCTACCCATGTCCCAGAAGATGATGTCCATCTGTTGAAGCCTGCCTAATTGAAATGACTCACAGATAACCCTTAAGTTCATACTTTTACCTCGGCAATTTCTTGCATTTTTTCATTTGTAGTATGTTTCAATTTAGACACCCTGGTAAAGTCTGGACTGAACAAATACTATGTCTTTTTGTAAGTAACATTCCCCTCACTGCTCACTGATATAGGTAGGACACTTTGGGCCTTAAAGAACTACTCCTTAAAGAAGTGATTTCCACCCAGTTCAGCCAAGCTGTTTTAATAAAATCTTTGAGCAATATTGCCTTCTAAACAAAGAGTGTGGTTTTTATTCCATGAAACGCTATGGGTAAGATCCCATTCTAAGTATTAGTCATGCAAAGATAGATGTGGTGCAGAGCCCGATGTATGGAGTAGGACATATGGAAAGCACACACATACAAAAATTAGCAAGCATTTAAGTTCCAGGCACTGTCCTGGGTGCTAAGAATACAATAACAAAAATGAATTTAGTCCCTGCCTTCAAGGTGCTTACACAAATAGCTATGAGACTAACAGGCTTTGAGAACGTAAACTTTGTTGGCTTTAAAAGGAAAAGAGAAGGAAAAGAGTTGTGTAATTTTGTTAAAACTCCTTAGCTTAAGGTAAAGCAAACTAGTGGGGGCTGAAAGTCTGTAAAAAGTTCTCTGAATTCGGGTTTGGATCATCTAGTCTTTTGCTTATGGCATACCTAACTCTGGATGGTCAGATTGCTATATACGAGCTCTATAATGCACATATAAACACCTGTATACACATACATATACATGTATATGTGCAAGTTTTTGAGGTATGAAAAATTGTATGTGATGGGGATGGAAATATTTTTATATTTCACATAGCATGATATTTTGGCAAGTGTACTAAGATGCAAGTTTGGGTTGGAGATCGGAAAAGATAGAATGCTCATACCCATAATTTCTAATCCATCTTAACTTCATTTAAAAATTAACAGAGTAGGAATAAACTCACCTGTCTCCGTGATCATAATGTTGTCATTGTGTCTGTCTCCTATACCAAGAACAAAGGTTGCCACACAGTAGCCAGCACATGAATATACAAATTTCTCCACTGCTGCCTGGAACTATTAATACAAAGGTACCCAAAGGTTATTTGATATCTTTCCCACCCCAAGTAGCAGATTCTACCTGATAAAGGTTGATGCCCCAAAACTCCTGTTCTGGAAACTTGCATTCAAAGAGCGAATTGTAAGGGTTTTCATTTGAACTATATATATTAGCTATAATTGACTTTCACTCTGGGGTAGCTAGGTGGTTTAGTGGAGAAAGTGCTGGCCTGAAGTCAGGAAGACTCATCTTCCTGAGTTCAAATCTGGCTTAGACACTTACTAGCCGTATAACCGTGGGCAAATCACTTGCCTCAGTTTCTTCATCTGTAAAATGAGCTAGAGAAGGAAATGGTGAAACACTTTAGTATCTTTCTCAAAAAATAAAAAACTCAAATGGGGTCACCAAGAGTTGGACATGACTAAAACAACTGAACAACAACAAACGTGTAATAAGTTGAGAAAGGTCAGAAGTTGGTAGGTTTTTAACTATTGTACAAGGAATCTTCATGACTTGATTGAGGAACAAATGTCAAAGGCAGTATTAATTAAATCAAAAGGGTTCAACCCTCAAGAGGAACCCAAAGTAATTTTCTCCTACACTGTATAACCCTTCCTTTGCTCTTGATCACTAATGGGATGTGAGCCTTCACAAAGCCATCATGTATAATAGGACTATTAAATGTCACTAATTACATTCCCTCCCTCCCCTCTAACAAAGGACTAGTAACCATGCAAATGAGGCTCACTAATCCCGAGGAGCAGAACTTTAAATGACAGCCAAACAACCTTACTACACAGCTTGCAAAGGACTCAGCATATGCACTTCAAAAGCATGCTGGAACTGACATTTTTTGTATCCATAATTTATAGAATATGCGGTATTTTGTCAGGTAGAACATAATTTACATATATGAATGAATATTTCTGGTGGATGGCAAAATTTATACGCACACACACACATAATGGTTAACCAAATGCTTTGCATGGTGTAGTTTTATACAAAGCATGGCCTGGTAGTCAAAGGAGAGGCAAATGCTAAAAACCTTGAAGTCCTGAGCTCATTGCCTGTCTTTTATTCAGAGCTGCTGAGTCACAATGTATATAGATCTGCAACGATCAAAAAATCACCTTATCTGTAACTTATCTCAGAGATGCTGGATACCATGATGATTACAGATCACTTTGAAAAAGTTAAATTGCTATATAAACAGTATCTGTATAAGGGATCCTTAGAATGAGGAAAGAGAAATTAGCTCACCTTTTCTTCAATTGGGCATTTTTCTTTGAGCCAATGATTTAGCACTTCATCCTTAAACGCTCCAGTATTACCCACTGTGCTCTGCTGAATTTTGGCAATGGTGGTAGCATCCTTCACAATTTCAATCATTCCTATGCGATAGGAACTCAGTTTGAGAAGAATAATCATGACTTAGGTTTATGTGTCATTTTTAAGGTTACAAAGTAATTCCATTTCTATTATTTCTTTCAGAGGCAGCTAGGTGACACAGTAGATAGAGGACCAGACCTGGAGTCAGGAACATCTGAGTTTAAACTCAGACACAATAGCTATATGACCCTGGGAAAGTCAATCAACCTCTCTTTGCCTCAGTTTCCTCCTCTGTAAAATGAGAATAGTAATAGTACCTACCTCCCAGAGTTGTTTTGAGGATCAAATGAGATATTTGTAAAGGGCTTGACACAGAGTCTCACATAGAGTAGATGTTCAATAAATACTTATTTCCTTCCTCTTGATCCTCACAACTACCCAAAGAGGTAAGCTGCACAAATATCGTTTTCATTTTATAAAGGTGGAAATTGAGGCACAGAAAGGTTAAGTGATTTGCCAAGTCACACCACTGGTAAATACCAGAGCCAAGATGCAAACTCAGTTGTCCAACTTCAAGTCCAGTGCACTATATCAATGATACTTTGCCGCAGGGTTATTTGCCAAGTCATTAGGTTCACAGTGTTTTGTGGTTTTCTTTTCTTTTCTTTCCTTTTTTTTTTACGAGAATAGGAAGGAAGCTGTGAAGGACTTGGTTACAAGATCTCTGAATGAAAAGTATACATGTTCTATTTGTGAATGGAGAGAAGTAAAATTCATCTATCCTGGCATGGTGAGAACATCCTTCCTCTTTAGGCCAACGGACATTTTTCTTCTCCTTTATTTAAAATTACAGTCAAAGGGAAGATCACTGCACTATTTTCAAATTAGAAACCTAAGACTTCTTAGTCCATACTCTTTCCTCAGCCATCTCCTTCACTCCCAGATGCTTTTAAACCTCTTTGAACATGGAATTACTTTTCCAGGTTTTCCATGCTCTCAACCCTCCATCTGCCTTTAAGACAGCTTTATCTTGAGGGCTTACCAGGATTCATACTTAGGTACAAAGCCAGCTTCACTTCTAATAAAAGTGTTCTTTCTGATTCTACTATTTCAGTCAGAGACATCATCATTTACCCTATAGGCCATGTTCAAAACCTTGGTAATGCCTTTGACTCCTCCCTCTCTCTCATCTCTCATATCCAGTCACTTAGAAAATCTTGTTAATTCAACCTTTGTCAATTCCACCATTGTAAAAGGGACAAACGGGTAGAGTGCTTCTAGACTTGCAGCTTAGAAGAGTACTGTCAGATCCCCCTCTGATGCTTCCTTTCTGTGTCACTTAATCTCTCCAAGTCTCAGTTTCCTCATGTATAAAATGGATATAAATAATACCTACTTTGCAGTGTTATTTTGAGGCTCAAATGAAATTATGAATATACTTTGTGAAACTTAAAGCCCCCATTAAAATGTTGATTCTTCTTATTATCATTATTTATTATTGTTGTTTTCTACCCCTTCCTCTGCAGCTCTAGTAGAGAGCTTTGATGCCAACTACTCGGACTACTGCACTAGCATCCAAACAAGGCTTGTTGCTACTAGGTTCTCTCCTCTCTAAACCATCCTTCATGTTGCGGACAGATTTATGCTCTTCATGCATAGACTTGGTCATTTCACCTTCTGCTCCACAATCTGCTATGACCCTACTTTTCCAAATTTATTTCATATAATTCCATCTTACATAATCTCCTTTCTACCTAGGTGGCTCCTTATCCTCTGTGCCCACCTCAGGTTTCCCCGGCTCTGGGCTTCTGTTTGCCTTTATTCATGCTGCTCCTGCTGAATTCCTAACTAAGCTGCCCTTAGATTTCACATACGCTTTACTTTTGTTTTCCGCATACACTTACTATGTATTGCATTTGAGTGGGTGTCATATTCTCATGCAGTGTGTAAGCTCCACGAGGACAAGACCCACCACTCATCTGGACTTTGTAGTGTCTTGTACCATCTCCCCTCCCCCACTTAGTACAGTGCTCTAAACTGAGTTGATATTTTCTTCCCAAACTTTCTCATGTTCCATTTTTAGAACATGCCTATGCCTTCCCAGGACTCTCAGAAATGTTGCAATCTTCTCCTGCCATGAGGAGTCAGTGTGGTATAGGTAGATAGCATGCCAGACTTGAGGTCAGGAAGGTTCAAACTCTCCGATAGATATTTACTAGCTCTGTGACACTGGGCAAGTTTCCTCATTTGTAAACCTAAAGGGGTGGGTTGGACTCATTGGCTTCTAAGGGCCCTTCTAGCTCTAAATTTATGACCCTATAATCCATCAGGTTTCACCTGATTTGTCAGCATCTTGTCTCACAGTCTCCTCCTGAGCTCCATGGGCTTTGGCACTGGGTTTTATTACAACTTCAATTTCAGGGCTCATAGCACCAGTTTAGCCACGACTTTGCCCCAAAATTCTCTCCATGTTTCCAAACTCACAGGGATCTATACCCCAAGGCTCCAGATGCACTCTCTGGCTTCTCAGTTATCTGCATCTGAGTCCACTACCTCTGGGATCTGACTTATGACCCTTGGATAACATCCTGACTGCCTCACTTTGCATTAACGCCTATGCTATGCATTGCAAATACCCTAGAGGCAGGCTTCCAATGTTGCTTTCTCCACTGATTAACAGATTCTTGGCTGCCTTAGAAGCAGTGGGTTATTTACTACCACGGGCAGTGATGAGCACTGTGTACAGCTGCCTCCTCTTCGAAACTCTATCAACAGCAGGTGCATAATAAAGGTTAGTTGACTGCTGCCGTTCCTACATGGACTAAATGGGATGGCTACGAAGTTGGAATAAAAATACATTCTATTGGACCTAAAAAGGTTTTTAAAAGTGCCTCCAAAAGCACATAAAAGCAGAGTGAGTAACAGCTCTGATAACTTGAACTTGAGGAAACTGTAATAAGTGGCAGATCTTTTATGGGGTTTTTAGAGAGAGAATTTTAATTTGCAGTAGAAGCTGAGTAGAAGTTTGGGTGGGGTGCAGTCAAAAAAAGGAGGAGGAAAATTTTACTAAATTACCTCCATGTAGGGTCACAAGGTTTTGGAACATTTCATTTTTTTCTTCAAACATGTTCAGTACATCCCATATCATATGAAGTTATATCAATTAACCATCTTACATTTTCTTCCTGGTCTCATGAATAAATATTATCTTACCCCAGTCCCCCAGCCCCATTATTAAATTTCTAAGCCATAACTTGGAAAATGCCATAAGTGTTCCCCACAAGCCGAATGGTGGATTTAGCTCCTGAAGGCTCTGCATACCTATTTTGTCTCCGGTTGAAATGCAACCATATGGCTGTAGGCACAAGTCCAAAGACTCTGCTTCCCAAATAGATCCCATAATTCGAAGAATCTAGACATGAAAACACAGTGTGTTATACAATATCTGCTTATTTGTGTTGTTTGACTTTCCCTTTTTAAAAAAAAATCACATTATTTAACTTGATGTATGACAGGAAAAACATGGTAACCTGCTGCATTGTATTTATGGTCAAATCTTTCTAAATTATTCACCACCAAGAATATAATTTGGTAGAGATCTGAAATAAGCCTTGGGGAAGAGGCTGGCTGAAGTCCTGTATGTTATTTTTGAAAGTCCTGGAACTTATTCATCTTTTCTCCATGTAAAATATCCTCTCCTAGTTCTGTCCAATCCTTAGGAAGTGGTAACAACACTGTTAAAAACAAACAAACAATGATCGCTATTTAATTCTAAAGAGTAAGACACTAGCACTCTGGATAACCAAAGAAACTAACAGTCTTTCATTGTTATTAGGACCCATGATTTTTTTTTTTTTGGTCTAGGGCAGTGGTTCTCAGACTTTTTGGTCTCAGGACTCCTTTATACTCTTAAAAAATTATTGAAGATTCCCCAAAGAAGTTTTGTTTATGTGGGTTATATCTATCAATATTTACAGTATTAGAAATTAAAACATTTTAATATTATTATGAGAATAGTTTTAACCCCTTAAGCTCCCTGAAAGGATTTTGCGGACCCCCAGAATTCCAGGACTACATTTTGAGAACTTCTGGTCTACAGAACTATTCACTGGGAAACCCTCTCTACCAGTGTAGATTGGCAATTAATAATTTTGGAAGGTTTTTTAGACACTGAGAGATTAGGTGATTTTGCTGTACTATGAATCAGAGGTTGAAGCTCTCTCCCTCTCCAATTTACTAAGCTGTATACCAACAGCATACATTGGATAAATGTATACTTCATTCCTTTTTGATCTTAATTTTAAAAAACAACTGGAGTAATAATAACAACCACGTGTTTTTTGTCACTCTTCAAAGGGTTCAAAAGATTCTTTTATTTAGATTTAATAAATCTTCAAAAGTTTGAGGGGAATGTTCATTTAAACAGAAATGTTTAGGATAATTCTCATGATATCTTTCAAAAATAAATAACATCTTGTGACCACTTCACTGACTAATTATCTTCCTTATTATTCTTCCATTTCCTCTTTCACCTGCCTACTTAATCATCTCCAACCTATGTCTCTACTCACCCATTTTCTCTCTTTCATTTGTCAGCCCACTGACTTTTTAAAAGCTTCTCATTTCTACCCATGCTCTGTGTGTGTGTGTGTGTGTGTGTGTGTGTGTGTGTGTGTGAGTGTGTGTGTAAAAAGAGAAATATCAATAGTGGGAGAGAAACTGTAGGTGTACATGTACATGAACATAGAAGAATGTGGAGTAGCTATATGGTTGAGGGTGGGAGTTAAGAGTAATGCATGTATGTTTAAACTATATCTCCGTGCTTTGAGAACTAGGTGAATTGGTACAGGGGTGTGGAGAGGTTGATATGATTCATTATTCAGGAATCCTAGTTGAGAACTAACCTCTAGTATGAATAAAAGTAAGTCCCTTACTGAACTGCATCCTGAGAAAGTTATGGGCCTCATGGCATAGTTTACAAGGCAATACCAATGTGAAAACTCACCAATACTCAATTACTGAGTCATGGCCTGTACTTTAACTCTGCTAATCTTAGAGCCTCCCCCCCAACAATAAATGTAAAATAACAAAACAAAAGATCAATAATTTAAATATTAGCTTACTTGTAAAATAAGCATGTCTTGACGCAAATCATCTCCGTGTTTGAAGATAATTCCTATAGTTTCATTGGATAGGGCTGTGGGATCAGCACATTTAAATTCAAGCCATAAGGGCTTCTTCTTGGATGCCATTACTTTACACTTTTCAATCTGTAAGGAAGAGTTCATATGTTTTCTATGCACAGAATGGACACATGGAATATAGACACAATGTGTGGTCTCTCTATACCTTTTTTTTCTTTTTAAAGACAATCTCTATAAACATCAATGCTATATTTGCAGGGTTTTGGTCACTTTCAAATAGAACTCTTGAAGAAAGACTGTATTTGAGAAATGATAGAGATAACTGATATCTAATTAGTACTTTTAAGTTTTACATAGGTAAGAAAGAAGGGTACAAACATTTATTAAGAACCTGCTATGCGTCAGACACTATGATAAGCACTATCTCCTTTGATTCTCACAACAGCCCTGGGAGGTAGGGGCTATTATGATGCCCATTTTACAGCTGAAGAAACTGAGGCAAAAAGAGGATTTGACTTGCTCAAGATCACATGGCTAATAAGTGTCTGAATCCAGATTTGAACTCAGGTGTTTCTGATTCCAGGCCCACTGCACCACCCAGCCGATCACTAGCTCCTCACAATGACCCTGTGATATAGGTAGTACAGATATTTTTCTCATTTTACATATGAAGACGCTGAGGCTCATAGCTTGATATCCTTACTTTTCTTTAAGACTCAGCTCAAACATCAGACTTTCCTTTCCTAGTGTCCCAAGCTAATATTGCTTTTCTCTCTAAGGTTATTTTCCATCGGTTTTGTACATGTCTTGTAAGTCGCTATTGATGTGCTTGGTGTCTCCCATAAAAGGATGCAAGCTCCTTCAGGGCAGGGACTGTTTTTGCTTAGCTCCATCCTTGGCACATAATGAGTGCTTAATAAACACTTGTTACTTGCTTGCTTAAGAATTTGTCCTTGCTCACACAGCTAATGGGATTCAAATGCAGGTCTCTCTAGATTCCAGTAGATTCTTTCTATTACACCACACTACCTTTATAACAGATTAACAAGGACAGCAAACAGGTAAATCAAGAGAAACTCGAACCTCTTCACATTAAAGTTTTATAGTTAAATCTCATTAATTTGGACTAAGCATTCAGAATTTGTGATAATTAGTAGGGACACTGGCCTGAGATTTTCTTTTGTATTAGCAATTGAAATGAAGGGGCACTTATTTTGCAAATGAATAATGAAGTCCCCTTCAACAATCAAATTGTTTTCAAGCACTAAACAAAACCACTTTGGTAGTCCCTTAATTCCATATTTCTTGCTTAAAAGGGAAAAGTATGCACTCATCTAATTTCCATTCTCATCTTACCTTGTTCAAATCATTTATCTACACTGATAACTCATCATACACTGAATTTGACTCTATGATTTTTATTGTGCCCTAATTACCTTGGTATATTAGCACAGAGTGGAAAAAATATGAATGTTTGTGAAATAATATGATGAAATTTAAAAATGGAATGTTTACTTCCAATCTTTCTAATGATTTTTCCACTCCATTTTTTTCCTTTTCTTAAAATGTCTTTTTCCTCCTTCCCCCAATAAGTTGAGGACATTCATGGCTCTGGACTAGGCCAGTTGCTTTTGTTTCTCATTCACACTTCCTAAAGGATCTCACATGCTGCTACTGCATTCTTTATCTACCGTCTTTATACTGATGATTCCTAGCATCCAACACTTTGTTTTGTCCACTGATATTTTGTCTCAACATCTGGCTGTAAGTTTCCAAGGGATCCTAAGGTCTTTCTGCTAGAGGCTGATGGAGATGACTGGGATTCTTATAGATTTCACAGAGGGTCTTCAAGACTCTCTTGATTTCCCACTTCTATAGGTACAAGAAAGGAGTTCTTCACTTTGCTTCACTATGGCTCAGAAAGGATATAGAGACAAAACTGCCATATTCATGGAGAGTCTACTCCAGCATGAAAACAACCCCCTTAGAAGATACATTTGTCCATGAAAAAAGCAGCTCCTTATTCCTGACAGATTCCTGACCATATAGCTTATCTGTCACTGTTAGATGCCCTCCACACAGTCCCTGCTTCCTCTGCAAAGAATTCCTCAGTTAGCTATGACTTTCTATATTCTCCTTCTGGCATTCAAATAGCTACCTATTGTTGTGACTGAGGTTGTCTGATTTTTAATAAAGGTTAAATTATTATTAATTATTATTGCTACCAGTAAACATAACAACAATGACAAAATAAATATTTTTGTGCTTGGCTTGATTATATTTAACATGTCTATCAACAACTTGGATAAAGGCATAGATGGAATGCTTATCAAATCTGCAGAGGACTAAAAGCTAGGAAGGATAGCTAAATTCCTGGATAACAGACTCGGGATCCACCAAGATCTTGACAGGTTAGAGCACTGGGGTGAATGTATTGAGATGCAATTCAGTAGTAGGTATAAATGTAAAGTCTTACACACTTTTTGAAAATCAGCATCATAAGTCCAAGACAGATGGGACAGGCTTACATAGTCATTTGTCTGGAAATGACCTGGGGGTTTTAGTAGACTACAAGTTCAATTATGTCAGCAGTGTGTTCCAGCATACAAAAAAGCCAACATGATCTTGGACTGCATTAAGAGAGGCATGGTTTCCAGGAATAAGGAGGACGTCTGCCATGGTGAGAACATATTTGGAATATTGTGTTCAGCTCTGGGCATGCCAGTTTCTTAAGCACAGTGATAAATTGAAGAGTGTCAGGAGAAGAGTAACTAGGATGAGGAAGAGCTTAAGGCCACGTCCTATTCATATGGCATGTTTTCAGACTAGTAGAAGAGAATGGGGTTGTTTAGCCTGGAAAAAAGAAGACTCAGGGGAGGGGAGGGGGACATAATAATTCTTTTCTAGTATTTGAAGGGCTGTCCTGTGGAAGGATTAGACTCATTCCACTTGGACTTAGATGGCAGCACCAGGATGAGTCAGTGAAAAACAACAACAGCAGCAAATATGGGTTTGATGCAAGGGCAAACTTAATCACAGAGCTGTCCAAAATTGAAATAGGTTGCCTTCAGAGATGATGAGTGCTTTCTCCTTGAAGGATTTTAAACAAAACTTGGATGGCTACTTGTCAAACACGTTACAATAGAGATTCCTTGTGGAGATTGGATTGGACCCAATGACCCCTGAGGTCCCTTCTGACTCTACAATTCTATCTTTGTGATACTCAAAAGATTGGGTCTGAGCAAAAGGAGCGCTAATAATTTCAAAGGAAATCTAACTTTTTGTTTTCAACCCATTTTTAATGTTAGTGCCTTACTACATTCAGATGCTATACTGCCTGATAGTGCTGAGACAGCAAATTTAAATTGATATGTGGAATGGCATGTTTTTCTAACTTTTTTCACATAAGGGAGCCATATCTGTAGGAGTTTGCAAAATATATGAAGCTGATTTCTTTTTTCTTTGGTGGGGAAAGATGGGGAGGACCAGACCTATGATTTCACTGGTTTTAGAGAACTCCTTGTGAGGAAACTCCCTCTACCAATGCAGTTCAACACCTGCTCAGCAGCTTAAAGTCTTCCAGAGTTACCTGGGATGCTGAGTGGTCAAGCAACTTGACACACTGTCAGTGTCAGCCAGAATTTCAAATAAGATCTATCTGCTATACCAAGCTAAAGTAACAATACTTTGCTTTTGGCATAAAACAGATTAATAATAATAAGAACTCATTCATATATCACTTTAAGGTTTACAAAACATTTTTCTTACAACAGTTTATAACACAAGGATTCCCTATTCCCACCCCTATTTTATATGGAGTACTGAATGTAGGTGGAGAAAATTACAGAACTGTTCTGATTGGGCCCACTACAAATTTATGCTACACAGCCTTAACTGGGTCCTTATTGTGGTCAGGCAATCCTTTTACACCTCCCTAATCAATTCATCATCCCATTGACCACAGCAGCTTTTCCAACCCTTTTTTTATCCCTCCTCAAACCTCTGATGGCTCCCCATCACCTCACCCTCTCTGCTGAGAACCTCGATGAATATCACACTGAAAAAAGTGAGGCCATTTGCCAAGGGCTGTTTCTTTCCTCTCTTCATCTCACATTACTCAGATATTTTCCCCACTATTTATCTTCTCTTCCACCTTTGTCTCACATGAGGAGATGAGATCTTCTTGCCAAGGTAAACACCTGTACCAGCACAAGTTATCTCATTCAATCTCACATTCTTCAGCAAATTGTCCCCTATAGCATCTCTCATTCTCCTCTTATGACTAAAGTTCTTGAGCACATTACCTATGACCAAAGCTTCTGCTTCCTTTCTTTACTTTCTTATTAAACTTTTGGAGTCTGGTTTCAATAAATATAAATGTAATATCTTACAGAGTTCAAGAATCAATTTCACAAGTATTATATGGGAGAGATATGATTAGGCAATATTTTACCGAAAAAAAGCTATTTAGTGGCCCAAAATTTAAATGGGAGTCATCCATATGCATATGGAAAAGCCAATCTGGTCTCTGGTTGCATTAAGATAGGCATAACAGTGACAAAGATGTTACTACCCGCATGACTATTGGCAAATGACTTCACCTTCCTGAGTTTTGCAATTCTTATCTATAAAGGGAGGCAGTAGGACTAAATAATTAGTACAGTCTCTTGAAGCATTCAATCCTTATGTTCTTCAGGAAAACCATACAAGATAGTTAATACAAGAATTATTATTCCCATTTGACAGATGAGATGAGCTCAAAGGGATTAAGTGACTTCTATTATCACACAGCTATTAAGTAGAGAAGCTGAAATTTAAATCCAGATTTTCTGAAAGAGAGCCCAGTTATCTTCACACTACCCATGTTTGCTGAAGAGCACAAGACCTGTTTAATATCATCATCATTCTCTCAAAGTAGAAAACTGAGAGTGTAGTTTTTATAGCCACAGTTGTTCTCTATTACTATAAATGGTCATTCAAGGATTTGTGATTTCATCAGTGTGGGTACTTCCCTTTCCAATTATATCTCTATGCTTCTGCTCTCTCAGGAGGTCTTCATGAGTTTCTGTGGCTGAAAGAATATATCAGCCAGTGGCCAACTTTCTAGGGATAAGCCTCTGCATTTTTAGCTAGGCTGGTCCTCAGGTGACAGACACAGTCCAGCTAGATCTGTTTTTTTTTTCCCAAGCCTTCCCAAATTGGTTGGAGTTCCTTGCATTCTACTGACCTGGCCTTTAAGAATCCGAGGTCACTTGCATGTCAGGATTAGACTCCAGAGTAAGCCTTCCCTGGAGGAAGATTATAATCTTGCATACGTTTTTAAATTGTATGCACATAAAAAACTGTTACATGATGTTACCTCCATAGTATGCCTGGAGACCAATGCTTCTTATTGGCCAATGATGAAAATATAGATTAAAGGAAGTCAACACCCTCACTGCTTTCTATTCCTTTCCATAGATGAATATCAGTCATCTCAACTGATGGACCTTAACAGGATATAACACAGACAACTTCAAAATGAAAGAATCCAAACTTACCACAAGTGTTCCTGCTCTCAGGCCAGGATCGTAGGGAACTCTAAAGCTTTTTGGAAGATTAGAATTCTGAAGGTTTTCAAGCTTTTGCTTAAGTTGTGAGATAACTGCAGTTGACATATTAGAAATCAACAAGAATTCATCAACATTACCATTGCTCGATATCGTAAAAAAATTTACTAAGCTTACTTTCTGTGCTTTTATCAATGACTTGCGTAAAGGCATAGAACACATGATTATCAGATTTTTAGATGACTCAGAGCTGGGAAGGATGGATGATAGATGCCTAATATACTCAGAAATAAAGGGATCCAAAAAGATGTGGATTGCCTAGAGCACTGGTATTAATCTATTAACATGAAATTCAATAGGGATAAACGTAAAGTAATATACTTTGGTTCAAAAAAGTCAGCTTCAAAAATACAAGGTGGTGGAAGCATGACTGAAAAATAGGAAAAAAAAGATCTGATCTTGAAGGAGACAAAGGAGAAGAAAAAGCAAAAAGATGCAGGAATTTGCTTTTAGGTGGGGGTGGGGGAAAGCACAAAATATTTTTATAGTCAGAGTACACATCCAGGTAAGCACATGCATAGATCTATAGGGATAAAGGACTGAACGTGCAATTTCAACAAGTCAAGTCAACAAGCATTTATTAAGGACTTATGCTGGGCCAGGCACCATATTAAACACTGTGAATGCAAAGAAAGACAAAAATATGGTCTCTATCCTCAAGGAACTCACAGTTTAATAGCTCTATACCACATTTCATTGGTATAGAGAACTCCCAGATGAAAAGGAAATTCTCTTTACCCATTTATGTTGGCACCTTCTCTGAAATGTATAGTTTTTCTTTTTTCTTTTTGGTTAGGCAATGGGGTTAAATGACTTGCCCAGCGTCACACAGCTAGTAAGTGTTATGTGTCTGAGGTCGGATCTGAACTCAGGTCCTTCTGAATCCAGGGCAGGTGCTCTATCCACTGCACCACCTAGCTGCCCCTGAAACATATAGTTTTTTTTAAGAATTATTTTCTAAGGCATTCAGAGGTAGAGTGCTGCACTAAGAATTGCCCAGGATTGCCCAACTAGTATGCGCCAGGATGGAGCTTGAACCCAGGTCTTCATGGCTCCAAAGCCAGCTCTCTACTAAACCCCCTGCCTCTAGCCACAAACATCCACATACAGATTAAATTACAATGAAGGAAGAAGGCTAAAAGGTGACTACTGCAGCTTTTTTTCTGCTTTGTGGTTGAGAGGTGGGAGTAGGTGGAAGGTAGGGGATAAGGTAGTGGAGGGGAGTAAGAACTGATAGGAAAACAGATAGGACTATCAAATGCAAACTTGGATGGGTGCTATAAACGCTTTAAAAAAGAGGAAATTGTGGTGGGTGGACTTCCAATTGCTGAAGAGTTGCTGTTGTTTGCTTTTAGCACTTAAAGAAATCAATCCAAAGTCAGTGCCTGAAGATCAGCTAGATGAGAAGTCGTTGTAAATTGGATTAACGCTCCCCAGCCATTAAATAATGTTTGACCAAAATAAGAATGAGAGTAAGGGTGGGTACCTTTCCTTCTTTTGGGGAGGAGAGGCTATTACAAATATATTCATCAAGAATCAAAGAATGAATCTGGAAGTTCTGAATACATAGAACTAGTGTATGAAACTGAAGACCAAGAAAAATTCTCAAACTTTTACTTAAAAAAAAAGACTGAAAATTGGACTGTGGGGGAGGGAAAATAAATACCTGTTTCAGTATAGGAAGGGAAATGTGAAAAACTAAGAAATAACGTGAGTCCACTTTGCCTGCAGTTGCTCTTTTAAGGATTATGTTTTAATTATTATGTTTGTAGCACATTTTTGAAAGCCATTTCATAGATATTTGAAATAATTTTGCTTTTTCTTTCCCCGCCTCTATGCAGATAGAATCTGGAAAAGACTTTTTTTTTTCTCTTAGCTGTGTTAGGAAGAAGAGCTACACTTTTCAGAATGAGGAGGTGACAGAGGATACATCTTGGGACACTTGAGAAGAGACACAAAAGTGTAGAAACTGTACCTTGGGAAGTGACATCATACTTTTCAGCAGACAGTGACTTAATATCAATAGTGACTTTTTGTAGCATCCTGATTACTTGAACCTGTTTTGTGAAATCCTCTAACATGGCCATGCCGCAGCCCCTCAAATAGGCTTCAAGGATCACTGCAAACCGTTGCTGGTAGTGCCTGGACTGAGCAATTTCACTTCTCAGAAACCAAAACAAGAAGTGACCGATTCTTTTATTCTGAGAATGGGGGAAAAATTGAAGACGGTTAATATGAATGACATTTAGGGTCTGACAGTAAATGAAAGAGATAAGGATTAGGGTCTCATCTGTATGAGGAACTCCCTGGTGATGAAATTCCCTCTACCAATGTAGCTCATCACATTCTCTGCAATTTATAATCTAAGAGCACTGAGGGGGAATGATTTGCCCATGGCCACAAACTAGTCTATGTGACCTATACACAGGTATCTCTAGCTTCGAGGAAGGCTGTAGTAGATACTGCTAAAATAGTAGTGTACTAGACCACGCCGCCTTGGTTAAAGGAAAGACAGTCCTTTTAAAAAGTCCTTGCTGTTATCACAACAAGAATACTTACTCTCAAACCACGTTTCAGCAGAAATCTGGCAAGAGCACTGTCATGGTATGGTTCAAATTTCACAGCCTAAAGACAAAACACATTTATGTATTTATGCAGGATATATAAAGACATGTGTCAGTGTACCCAACCATACAGTTTCCTTCACCTCTTGTTAAGGGGTGATTAAAAACCAAAAGGAGGCCTGGGCTTCTACAAGCCAGGACAAACAGCAAAGACTTCATCATGCATCTCTAGCAAGTGCTAATATTCCCAGAAGTACCAAATGTGGTCATTTTTCTTTTTCTTTTAGGGTCACTACAATTTGCTCCAATCGGGGCTGTAAGGATTCCAGGTGACTGAGTGATGAAGGCAGAACTGGGCTCATTGTTGGCCTTGCAAGAGGAACAGAAAGGTGAGGTGGGGGGTTGGAATTGGGAAGATACTGCCTACTATGGATGCTCAGGGTGACCCTCTTCCCCAGGTCTAGTGCTTGACCATCCCACAAGTGTGGGGGACACACTTAGGGGAAAAGGTGCTGTACCTTTTAGGTGTTTTCCCTCTGAAGTCTATCTGTCCCTGTTCTCCACTCCAGGCAGGCAAGGGAGCGAGCACTCTCTAAGGCCCACCAAAAAGCTAAGCTCGTGGACTTCACCTTCAAGCAAGAAGAAAGCTCAACTGTCTGCTTCTGCTGCGCCTTCAACTTATTTCAAGCCATTCTCTGTCTACTCTCACTTCACTTCCTCCTTGGGGATGTGGGGTGTGGATGTGAACACTATGTGGCCACAGTTAGGTCCAGGGAGCATGGGTAAGGAGCTAAAACATTTTGATTATTTCCCCGCTGTCTCAGGCTCTACTAGAGACCAAGAACGGATTTACTGAGGGAAGAAACTTCCTTACTTTTTTTTACTTTCATCTTTAGTGCCCAGAAAACTGCCAGGAGCAAAGAAAGTGATCAATAAATGTGTGTTGATAGATTAATAAAGATATGGGAAGAGATCAAAGTTCAATGCTGTCTCATCTTTCTATGTTTTTGCTCATTCTGATGTGTATGCCTGGAATCTTACGCATCCTTTAAATGTCAGGTTAAATTCTACTTCCCCCACAAAGTCTTCTCAGATCCTCAAAGTCAGTAATGATCTTTTGTTCCTTAGACTTCATACGCAACTTTCTTAAACTATATTATCCATCTATCTATCTGGATGTGTATCACAATTATTTCTGTATAGATTGCATAATCTTAATAACCTGGAAGCTCCATGGACACAGGGACCTCAGAAAGCTGCCATTATGGAGGGTTTTTTTTTGTTTGTTTGTTTTGGGCTAGGCAATGAGGTTAAGTGACTTGCCCAAGGTCACACAACTAGTAAGTGTTAAGTGTCTGAGGCTGGATTTGAATTCAGGTCCTCCTGACTCCAGGGCCAGCGCTCTATCAACTGTGCCACCTAGCTGCACCCCACTATGGAATTTTAAAGGACACTAGCGTCAACAAGACTTGACAACAGATTGTATAAGAGGGGAGCAGGCATGTGAGAAAGGGCTGAGGAAATCTCCCCTTCTAAGGGGAGTCCACCTTCCAGACATTGGTGTTATGACTGCAGCTCACCAGAGAGGGAGGAGAAATATATTGATTATTTACGGGCTATTGTGAGTCCTCCGTGTTTCTGGGCTTCTCTGAGTCCTCAGCATTTTCTATGGGAAGAATCAAGGTTATCCTGTGGAAGACTATCAGACAAAGAAGGAGAGAAGGAACAGGGGAGGAGAGAAGACAGGACAGGAGAGGACTTCGAGTCTTGGCTCATAGACATAATTTTTATATAACTCTGGACAAGTCACTTGACTTCTCTAAAGTTTCAGGCATCTCAGCACAACTACTTCACAGGGTTGTTGTGAGAAACGGATTTTGTAACTCTTACATATGAACTATGGAGATATTCCATATTCTAAAGGAGAAGACAAAAAAAGTAGAGAAATTATATTTTGCTCTATAGAGAATAGAATCAAAGAATTTTAGAGCTAAAGGAGACCTGATATCATCCAATCTGTCCCATCTTATTTTAAAAATGAGAGAAATAAGGCACTAAGAGTTGATGTAAATGGGCTGTGGTCAGGCAGCTGGCTTATTACCAGAAGAGCTGGTAATAGCACCTGGGTCTACTGACCTCAAGCGAGTCCTACACCATGCCAAACAAGTTTCTCCCCCAACAATGAAGAGCTGGTTTGACAAAGAGGATTATTGTCTCTTATGATTGAGAGGCAATGTGAGATACTAAAGTATTAGACATGAAATTAGGAGACCTGTGTTCAAATCCCTTCTCATACACTTATTAGCTGTGTGATCATGGGTGTCACTTCACATCTCAAAACCTTGGTTTCCCCATCTGTAAAATGGGGATAACACCTGTACTACCTACCTCAAATCCTATAGTATAATGATACTTCTTCACAATGACCCTTTGAGAAAGGCATTTTACAGAATTTAAAACACTGTATAAACATGAGTTATCACTGATTTAAAAGGCAGAAGAGAAAGTACAGGAAAAAGAAAACATAAATGTGGCTAGAAGACCTGAAAAAGGGTGAGAGATACCTGGATTTGGTTAGAAGAGAGTAGAAGACATAGAACAATCCGCCAAAGTTGATAAGTATTATAATGTGTGCATAGACGTAAACACACATATATGTGCATATATATCAATCAGATGTAGTCAGAGAATCAAAGAAATTTAATAATAATAATCACAAAACAATAACAATAACATAATTTTTAGTGTTTTAAGGTTTGCAAAAAACTTACATTACTTATTTGATCCTCACAAAAACTGTATGTTATAATTGTTATTGTGATCCTCATTTTGCAGATGAGGAAGTGGCAGCTTATGGAGATTAAGGGACTTGTCCAATGTTACACGTCTAGTAAGTGTCTGAGGCCCCATGTCCAGTGCCACCTTGTTGCATCAACATATTGTTAATTTGTAATCTCTTCAAGTGTTTCTCCATAAATATCCTTAGATTATTCAATCCTTCTATGCGGCAGAAGTCCATAAGTAGGCACCAACTATATGGTTGGGTTTCTGGTGCAATTTTTTCCTTTCACATTGCAAATGACTAAAAGTGGTTTATTAACCACATTTCTGTTATGCCAAAGTTTCTTCAAAACAAAACAACAAAAAACCAACCTTTTCATAGGTGTGGTCAAACACATGCAAATTTAACTGCAGTGAAGTTGCCGGCTCTGAGAATGTATTAAGCCACTCATTCCAAAAGTAAATGAATATATTCATTCCAGTATTTAAAAAAAGTTCTTGGTTGAATATGAGAGTTGATACTTCATTTTAGTAAAGTCAATATGTAAAACTCAACTTGGAGTGGGTTTTATTTAGGCAGCAGGAGTTTAAACACCTCTGAAAACATAGCACAGCACCTTAAAAATGATTGAAGTCTACTCGTGCACTACTGGTGGAGTTGTGAACTGATCCAACCATTCTGGAGAGCAATTTGGAGCTATGCCCAAAGGGCCATAAAACTGTGCATACCCTTTGATCTAGCAGTATCACTGCTAGGTCTATATCCTAAAGACATCCAAAAAAATAAAAGAGAAAAGGACCTGTTTCTACAAAAATATTTATAGCAGGCTAAGAACTGGAAATCAAAGGGATGCCCACCAATTGGGGAAAGGCTATAAACAAGGGTGGTATATAATTGCTATGAAATATTATTGTGCTATAAGAAATGACAAGCAGGATGATTTCAGAAAAGCTTGGAAAGACTCACACGAACTGATGCATAGTAAAGTGAACAGAACCAGAGCATGTACACAGTAACAGCAATATTGTTCAACGAAGAACTGTGAATGACTTAGCTATTCTCAGCAATACAATAATTCAAGACAATCCCAAAAGACTAATGATGAAGCGTACTATTCACCTCCAGAGAAAGTACTGATATTGATTGAATACAGACTGAAATACGCTACTTTTCAATTTTTTCTTTAATTTTTTCCTTATATTTGAGTCTTCTTGTACAAAATGACTAATATTGAAATTTTTTTACATAATTGCATATGTATAACCTATATCTGATTGTTTACTGTCTCAGGGAAGGGGGGAAAGAAGGAGGGATAGAATTTGGAGCTCAAAACTTTAAATAAAAATGTTTAAAAATTGGGGAAAATGGTCAAGGTCATGTTTAAATTATGCCTGCTAATTTGAATGTCAACATCATTATTTCTTGATTTCTTTCATTCCAAGCAGGCAAAATTGAAATAAAAGTACATTCCTCATTCTGCAAAGTTTATTCACAAAAGAGCTAAAGAGAAGCAATGCAGTTAGGCCCTTGGTGTGGAACAGAACTGACACAAATTTAGAGCTCAGACAATTCTGTACAGGGCAACAAAATGAGAAGGTATTTTTTGTTGTGTTTTCTTTTTTTCTAAACTTCTTTAATACTCTGACAATTAATTGAATATTGAATGGAGGGAAGTAAAAACTAACTTCGGATGCTTTTAGATGACACATAAAGAGGTTCAACAGAAATGGTTTTTAAGAGTTAATGCAAAGATAGAAATTTAATAGCTAAGGGTAAGGACCCCTTGATTATTGGCAGAGTAATGTGATAGAAAAAACACTAGACCTGGAGCTAGAAGACTTTCCTCTGACATTTACCAGGTGTGTGATAGGGCAAGGCATTTAACTTCTTACCTGTTAAATGGGGATAATAATACTTATAACGCCTACCTCAGAGGAGCACTTTCTAAATCCTAAAGTACAATTCAAATATGAGCTGTTGTTATTATGCTTGTCTGGAAACTTTAGGGACAACCTGTAAAAATGGATGATTTGGTAACTCATTGCCTAACACATCGATTAAAGAGCATAATTTCTACATTAGTCCTTCCATTTCCTCCCTAATAAGTACTTTGCCAAGAAAGACAGCATAGTGGAAAGATGAATGCATTAGGAAGGGGGTAGAATTGAGTTCAAATTCCTCCTCTGCCACTGACCAAGTTATGTCAACTAGGGCCGGTCACTTAAGCTCTCTAGGCCTCAGCTGCCACATCTTTGAAAGGGGGATGAGAATGGCATACTTGCCTGTGAGCAGAGGGCTAGCTCAAATGAACTCCTGAAGCCTGACCTTGGGCAATTCACTCCATGTCTTTTAGTCTTACTTTTCTCACCTGTAAAATAAGGGATTTGGACTAGATGATCTCTAAAGCTTCATCCAGGTCTAAAATTTTGTATGCCTATGAGTCTCTTCTGGCTATGTGATATGATATCGTAAACATCAAAAACTGGCATAGACACTTTGTGTTTGAGATGAATGCCATCAAATGGCAAGTATATTTTTCATCTCTTCATCTCACTTTCCAAGCAACATGGCTCCCCTCACTACTTCTCCAGCCCTGAATAGTTATTGGTATTGATCTGAGTAAAGCATTTATTTAGAATCATAGACAGAGAATATCAGAATTGAAAGAGACTCTTGAAATCAATTCTACATTTTATATATAAGGAAACTGAGGCACCAAGAAGTCATGTGACTTGCTCACAGTCATACAGCTGGTAAATATTAGACTAGGATCTGAATGCAAGCCTCTGGTTTTTAGCCTAATGGTCTTTTCCACTACCCCACAAAATCTCCTAGATATTTTCTGTGAGGCAATTGGGGTTAAGTGACTTGCCCTGGGTCACACAGCTAGTGTCTGAAACTGGATTTGAACTCAGGTCCTCCTGACTCCAGGACTGGTGCTCTATCCACTCCACACTCTAGCTGACCATCCCCTAAATCTTAATAAGTACCCTTACATATCTCTGGCAGAACTTATTCCCCATTAAAGTCTAAGACATTACTAATGTAAGGTAACAGAGAAGCATTTAATGTGGATTTTACAGGTAAGAAAACTGAGCTAAAATTAAATAGCTAGATGGAAGAACCAGAAGAAGAGCAGCTCTTGTATTCTGTCTCTATATCACACTGATATTCTGGATGAATAAGAGCTAAGTATTACCATCAATCAAATTCCCCTAGAATGTAATGGCCTCATATAGACTATAATAATAATGATAATAATAATAATAATAATAATAATGGTAACTCACATTTACATAGCAATGTACAGTTTATAAAGTCATTGTTTCTTAATCCTCACATAAATTCACTCCATAGTGTCTTGGGCATCAAGAGACAGAATAACTTCTTATTTGGTGAGTTGGCTTCACTATGATCACAGTGTGCACGGCGGACAGAATAATGGATTTTGAGCCAAGAACTTGGGTTTGAATCCTGACTCTGCCACTGGTAACCTGTGTGACTTTAGACAAATCACTTAACTTCTCTGGGACTCAGTTGTTCATCTATAGAATGGTGTCTGAAGTCCCTTTTAACTCTAAATCTGTGATTTCATGATATCAAACTACTCTGTAGTTCAATCTGATTGCTTTTCTTTTTTAATGACATTTATTTCACACATTTAAAAACATTTTTCTGAGAGGAGCTCCATAGGCTTCCCCAGGTTGTCAAAGGGATCCAGGGCATAAAAAAAGATTAAGAATTTCTGATCTGCTCCAACCTCCTCATTTTGCACATGAATAAATTAAGGCACAGAAAAGTCAAGGGTCTGGTTCTAGGTCGTACAATAAGTTCTTTGCAGAATCAAAACTTGTACCTGTCTTTTCCACAACACCAGGCTACTTCCCTCCCAATAGTGAAACACTAAACAACAGGCGTTTTCATAACCAAAGAATGAGGGGCCTGTGTACATGCAAATAAAAGTTCTCGAGACTTTGTTCCCTTTAATAACTCAAGCATATTTTACCTGAACTAGTTGCAGCAGGTAATGCAAGACATCATCATCCTCCAAGCTTTCTAGCTTTTGCACTGCAATGGCTCTTACATTTTCATCTGAAAAGTTACAGTCCAGGAGCTGCATTGTTAACCCAACATCCAAATCACTTCGATCCCAAGCTTCCCTTCTGGCTAACAACTGATATGTTTTGGCCACAATCTCTTGTTGTCCCCATTTCACGGAGCTAAACAGCTTAGGATACGCTTTGGGGTGCTTAAGGCTTTCATACCTAAAATGCCATAGTAATTCTTTGTCCTTTGCAGTGAGTGGGTTAAGTGGGTCAGTGGCTATGATCTCTTCCAGCTGTTTTCGAAGCTGATTGGGCATCTCTCCCCTTACCCTGTCCCCTTCTGGGTCAGGGGTGGGCCTGTGCTTGGGCAAGGCTATTGGGTGGCAATAATTGTCCAGAAGGATGGAGATTGACATAGAATTATCCTTATCAGGGTTGGTTGCTGAGGTAAGCTTATCAGCATTGATGCTCCCTTGGTCCTCTCCCTTCCCTGATATCTTCCACATATGCAGGACATATTCTCCATGCCTCAGGAGAAATCGGTGGTCTATAAGCAGTAGGTTCACATAATAGAGTAACTGAGTTTTGCCTTTGGCTTCGAAGCCAGAACTCTCATGAGATCCAGCGGCCTTGGAAGACTGGGCTGGGGCTTTCCCACAGTAAATCTGAAGGTTCAGTAAAGCCCCTTTGGGCAAGTCCTTGATTTTGATATCAAACTCAAGCCACACATTCCAGAGCACCTCCTCTGTGAAAGGTTTAGAGGTGGTACGCCTTTGGCAAAGGACCTGCTGCCCATGTTGGATGTTTGCTTCCACAAAGACCGTGAGCTCGGTGTTCCGTGGGAGCACAGGGATGTCAATGCCCCTGATCTTGACCCTGAACCTCCGGTCACAATCCCACAGGGAAACAGTAAACACTTTCTCATGATTCTTGCCATTTATTGTCAGCTGCTCATGGTAGCCTGTGACTCCTGTGCAGTCATCTACAAGTGGCCACTCTTCCTTCCTCACCTCATCCTGCCCTGGGTCAGGAGGACTATCCAGTACAAGGTGAATCTCTTCCCCGTTCTTGAGGCAATGCCTGATCCACTGGAAATTCTTGATAGGCGTTTCACCTACAATGTACTCATCCCGGCCACAGACTCGAAGCACAAAATCCAGCTCACTTTGACTTTCAGGGATGTCCATCAGAGACTTCTTCTTAGCCATCTTGGTGAAGAAGCTCTGCAAGATTGTACCCGGGGTGTCATCTGCTGAGACCTTGATCGTCTGACTCGTGGTGCCTCGGTGGATGACGATCAAAATGCAATTATTGACAATCTTTTTTGACAGGTAGGTGGGGAGTGGCTTGGAAGTCACCCAAGGATGCATGGCATAGAGTTTGGGGTCTCGGACGGCTACCTCCTTAATCCGTGGGGTGACAAGCCGGCGCCGGGTGAATTCCAACTCATCATCATGCACATTGCTCATGTTAGTAACATCATAGCCAATCAGATCATTCAGCTGTTGCTGGAACTCCCGCGTTTCCTCGGTGGGTAGCTGCCTCTGGACCACACGGATCTGGCCCATGTTCTTGTGGAGGGCTTTCCAATACTTCACACAGTCCAATGTCTGTATCAACTGGTACTTGTCATAGATCTCATACCACTGTCCCTTTTTCTGGTATAGCAGGAGAAACTGCTCTGGGGAGGACTGGTGATAGAATTCCATGGCCATGCTAGTCTCCATGGCCTGCATCCAGACCTGTGCTTTCATCTGTTCCACATTGCAACTTCCAGCTGCTTCCAGGATCACCGTTTCTGAGACTTTGGTGTTCTGGTGGCTGGTAGGCAGGACAAATTCTATAGGAATGAGTTCCATTGAAGATGAGCTGATGCCAGCACTTTGTGGCTTCATTCTCCTCCTCCTTCCCCTGTTGTCTTCTCTCAGAACCACGGGCTCTTGGTCCTCCAGATCCATGCCTGAGGTGAGCTGTAAGCAGAAGAAGGCAGAGATTTTAATCACAAAATATCACTTTTTTCCCCTTGCCATATACCTATGAAGAGTAGCAACCAAATCCTAGGAAATGTTGTGCATGGAAGGCAAAAGAGGCCCACTAAAGGGCAACAAACACATCTGAAGATCAGCCAAGCATCCAATTCAAGGACTCCGTCCTACAATCCTTCAAGATGAGAGTAGAAGTTAAAATAATCTGCTTTGAAGGCAGGCCATCAACTTATTTCTCATTTCTCCTTGGGACTTAGACACCCTATCTAATCTTGTCAGTATGTTCTCTATTTCCAAACCTTCTATACCTCAACTTAGCTATGCAACCTAACTCACTCTTTGCTGAAATTCTTTTTGTGTTTTGGTCATAATCCTTCTGCCCCTCTTTTCTGGTTAACAAAACCAGTAAAGAAAAAAAATTACTAGCAAAGTAGCAAAAGAACTGGTTTTAAAAAAAAAAGCTGGATCCAGCAGATAAATAAACAAATTAAATACTTATGTTGTAGTGGAAAGGGCATTGACTCTGGAGTTGGAAGACCTGGTTCAAATCCCACCTCTGACAGTTAGTACCTGTATGACCTTAGATAAGTTATTTAATATCTTGGGGTCACAGTTTCTTTTTTTAATGAAGAGTTTAGACTAGATATTCTCTGAGATCCCTTCCACCTCCATATCTTCCTATTTCTAAACAATCTAATTATATCCAACTGAAACATCTGTGACATTAGTATATGAACAATCATTCATGAAATACTTCTCTTTCTTAAATCTATCAGTATTTGGTATTTCATTTTGCTTTGCACAACACAAAAATTAAACAATGATAAATCTGTGCAAAATAACTTTATTTGTGAGCTAATTCATCTAATTAATCTCTGCCACAGTAGAGATATTTTAGGAAAATAAAGAGACCCAACTCAGGTACTACAGTACCTCCTTTGTTAAGTCTTTCCTGCTCATGCCAGCTGAAAGAGATAACTCCATAAACTTCTTTTCACTTTCCTCTAATTTATCCTTTGTACTTACATTCTAGTTGGTATTAGAATTTGATGTATATTTCTTACCTCCTCCACCTCACCAACAGGGAAGTGTCTTTGGAGGCAGAGACTACTGTATTTTCATCTTTGTGTCTCTAGTAACCACGCCCAGGCTTTGAACATAGAAAGTGCTTAATAAATGTTTGTTGAATTCAATTATTTAATTAGAGATTGTAAACCACTTTGTATTAACAATGTAGCATGACTAACACTGCCATTAACTATTTAACATCAACACAGTGCTGGGCAATTACAAACATTAATTATGGAAATAAAAATTGAAGTATAATGTGTTATTATCCTTAAATGATTAATATTGTCAATTCTACCAAAAGAAATAGGCATATCTTATTATTCCTTGTAGATATAATAAAGTATTTCATCATTACAGGCAGGTGAATTTTGAGTATCACGATACCATACCTCATTGCATTATAAATAATTTCCAAATAGTTACTTACAGTTTCTATTTATACTCCCATAAAGCATAATTAAGGGTTACTTCACCGCAACAAACCCAAATTGTTCTTTTTTACAACTGTGTTTTCATTAAAGAGCCCCTTAGAAATTCATGCATCTTAAATCATTCCCCATTTAGTTTTTTGGCATATCACAGAGCAAGTAAAACAGTATAAAACTTGTAGGCTATATCAACACTCACACTGATAAAGAATTTTTTAAAATCCTCTTAACTTTAAGTAAGGGAAAAAAGAGCACCAAATTCTCTTTGATTTCTATGCAACAATCAAATAACAAATTGACTTCTGAAGAAAGCAGGCTGGCCTAAATACTCACAAGTTTTCCTTTAGTCAGTCTTCAAAATGATCTGATGTGTTACTGTCAGTTTTGAGGGGATGAAGTCATGAATGCTTTGTGAATGAAAGGATATACTACCTCTCTCTGAGCTCCTCTGCTCCCATTGAAACATCTCTCTTGCCTCCCCCCCCTCTAGACTATGACCTTTCTAATGCACCTGCTAAACTATTGTCCGAACCTTGCAGATGCTCGAAAAAAAGAGGACAAAATAGATAATGAAACTCAAAAGAAACATTATCTCATGAACTAGTAATGGTTCTTCCTAAAAATACTCTAGATGAGGAGTATAAATATTAAATTAGACATACAAAGGACAAGAAACTGAAAGAAATGTTACCTGTCTACAAAACGCTGCAGCTATGACTGAAGAATCACTTGTTTGGTTTTTAAAGCCAGGGCATTTTTTTCTTATTCAACAAATGTCTTCTGTTTTTCTAGGTCTCTTTTCAAATCCAGATGCAGAGGAAGTGCTGCAGTTACCAGGAAGGAAGTTTTGACCAAGTTGATTATACGTATGATTGCTCATTTTAAAAGTGTCAGAAATGTATTTCCTGTCATAGCCAACAGAGGTAGAAAAAGAGAATGAGAGAGAGAGGGAAGGAAGAAAAGAGGGAGAGTAAGCAAAAAAGATAAAGAGAGATGGAGGGAGAGCAGAGAGAGAGATAAGGAGGGGAAGATGGAGAAAGAGAGCAAAAAAGAGAAAGAGATGGAAGGGGAGAGAGAGAAAACAAAAAGAGAGAGGAAGAGGAGAGAGAGAGAGGGAGGAGATGGAGGGAGGGAAGGGAAAAGGAGGGAGGGGAGAGAGAGAGAGAGAGAGAGAGAGAGAGAGAGAGAGAGAGAGAGAGAGAGAGAGAGAGAGAGAGAAGGAGGTGTTTGAAATTGTTTGTCCTATATATTTTTTAGCTGTGAAAAATGAATTGGCATTATTTATACCCACATAGAACTACAAATATACGAACTACAGATACATGCAAATTTCCCAAGCTAGTTAAATTAGAAAAGTCTAATAGTCACCTTTGTAAGTGTGATAGCCTAATATCATTAAAATTTTTAAAGTACTTAAGTTCAGCACTGCCTTATTAGACCTGTGAGTTCATAGTTCCTACCCTTAATCCTAACTCTGTGTAGAAATTCAAGCACTGGAGGCAAACAGTCACTGGGGATGGTGTGGTCCTAAGGCATGATTGCAAATGTGCATGGTTGAAGTGGACTGGAGACAGAGGTCATGGGAATTTAGGTTGAGGATGCCAAGATATTTGAAGGAGGCACAGGTTGGGGTAGAAAAGACCAGGCCCTCAATTTATTGGGTAAGTTACTATCATCTATGACCTAGACACCCACAGATGACAAAGAGGGTATGGATGAGATGAAGTGAACTTTAAAAGGAGAGAGCTGGTTACTGAATGATGGTGGTAGAGGTGGATTCTGAAAATAACAATGAGGAGCAAGGAGGGGCAGCTTGGTGGCGCAGTGGATAGAGCACCGGCTCTGGATTCAGGAGGACCTGAGTTCAAATCTGACCTCAGACACATAACACTTACTAGCTGCATGACCCTGGGCAAGTCACTTAATCCCATTGCCTAGCAAAAAAAAAAAAAACAAAAAAACAAAACAAAACCCAATGAGGAGCAAGGAATATGCCAACTCCTCTTTCTGATTCTATTTATCAGGGCATGTGAGAGGAATGCTAGCCTTGGGAAGAGTCTTAAAAGATAGATAGTCTTAAGGATCATAGGCTCATAGAGTCTAGGGACATATAGCCTAATCCCCTAATTTAAAGATGAAGAAACTGACATCCAGGGAAGTTAAGTGACTTGCCCAAGGTCAGTCAGGGAGTTTGGTGGCAGAGCGGAATTTAAAACCTGGGTCTTCTGAAGCAAATCCAATACTTTCCCCAAAATGCCATGCTGAGAAAGCAAGGTTTTAGCAAGCAATGGATAATGAAAGGAATATGAGAAGAAGCCATCAGGTTCATAGGATCATAGATTTAGAATTTGAAAAAACTTTGGAATTCACTTAAGCAAACACTCTTACTCTGTAAATGAGGACATTGTAGCCCAGATCAGTGAGGTGTTTTAGTAAGTAGCAGTGCTGTAATTTGCCTCTAACTCCAAATCCAGAGACCTTTCAGTTATTACAAACAGAGAAAGTTTTTAGAGGATATAGTGGAAAGAGAGAGCAAAGGGGAGAGCTAGAGTTAGGGTTTGGAGGAACAGTTCAGGGCATGGCAGCAGCAGCCTGTGTGGGGAGCAGTGAACTGTCTTTCTGGCTGATTTTTGGAATTGTGCTATGATCTCATGCTGATTCTGGGGGTCTTTGTGGTGAGTTCCCAGACAAGGGAGGCAGTATGGGCTGAGGAGAGTAGAGTAGCCTGCCTCTACTCTGGTTAGAAGACTCTCCTGGGGAGAGGTGGGATTCTATGAGACACTGGGAGGCCAGTGGTGGTAGGTTGGAAGAAAGAAACAAAAAACACACCTACAAGGGCAGAATTATGCCCTATTCCCCAAGATGTCAGCATTCGGAACACAACATGGAGTGCTCTGTGCTGGTTCCATTCTTGCCATATATTTCCCTTTACTGTAAACATGGATTTGCCTTTCTTTATAATGCTTTTATAAACCCACTCTTTGGGAGTACTAACCTAGGGGAACAATGACAGTTAAGGCATACATTTTCTAAGACAAGGTCCAAGTTCTTAGCTATTTAGCATAGTGAAAAATCTGCCTAGTTGTTTTGAGAGGTCAGCTCCAGAAATGTCACTAGTTCAAAGTGAAAGCAACCCAGTCTGTGACAAAAAGCAGCGTGTGACAGCGATTTTAACAGGAGATGACAAGTCAGCATGGGTAGCCCTTTGGAAGTTGAATATCAGCTGACAAATAAATAACTTGGTAAACAGCAACCAGGTCGTTCATAATTCTAAAACAGAATGACTCATGGAGCATAGGTCTGGAACAATGGGGGTTCTGGGTCCCAAGATATACACTCAAAATAAAGACTATCTTACAGCAGTCTTAGGTCTCTAGGTTAACTCCATCACATCATCATAGCTCATATTTATAGAAGGCTTTTCAGTATAAAAGTGCTTTCCTCATAACAATCTCATGAGAGAGGTAGTTCAAGTATTATTATACCCATTGTACAAATGAGAAAACTGAGATTTGGGGAGCCATTTGCTCACAGTCTAGCATTGAGGTTGTGATTCAAATGCAGGTCTTCTGAATTCATGCCCAGTGTTCCTTCCACTAAACCACAGTGCTTTATAAGGACTTACATTTACTATTACTTTTTACAAGCATTCTCTAATTTGGTGTTGCCATTAACTCTGCTAGGGAAAACTAGTATAAGTATTATTATCCCCGTTTTGTATATAGGGAAACTGAAGCTCAGTGGTGTTAATGACTTACTCATAGCCACATGAATAGTAAATGACTAAGTCTGTATATGAACCTAAGTCTTATAAGTCTAATTTATTTATTGCAAATTAATTTATTGCTTTTCTAACCACACAAGGCACTTTTTATATCCAAGACTGGGTGGCATTTCTCAGAGCTCCTTCTCTCGACAAAAACCAGCCCTAGTAACATATACTCTAGATGAGGACGAGGACTGAGTCTTAATTTAATTTTGTGTGTCATCTGGGACAATATTCTCCATACAGTAGAGGCTTAATAGATGCTTGAAGAATCAAATCTAATTCAGGAATCAAACTGAATTCTGGGGCCTAAGGAATATGAAGTGTTTGACCTTCCATTGCTTGGCCAGTCTTCAATTCATAGCATCAGAGAGGCCCTATGCCTGCTATCCGTGTAAATCATTGTCTGGGGTCCATCCTTTCCTTTTCTCTTCTGCCTCTCAGGTCATGGACTTCCTCAGTGGTACCCGTACGAAGCATAACAAAGTACTGGGATAATCTGTCTCCATCAGTACAGAAATCATTTGACACTATGCCTATCAGTCATTCAGAGGCAGTTTATCAATATCCAGAATCACATGTTTTTGAAGGGTGTGGTTCTTCAGCTCACTCAAAGGTTCGCATTTGAATTTATGTGCATGTTTGCTGCTGGCAAAGCTTGTGGAGAAGGACAAAGGAGCCACAAAAGTTTGTCCACACCAATCAGCACTCCAGCTAGGACGAACGTTATTTGGAGAGGGCTAGAGTGAATGTGTGGAGGAACACGGGAAGAGGAAGGAGCTGTGAGCCTAACAAACTTTGCTTCCCCAGATGAATCAATCAATCAATAAACATTTATTAAGTGCTTACTATGTGCCATCGCTAGGTTGTTTGAAAGCTTCCTTCCCTTCCCTAGCATACTGATTTTAAAAGGATAATAGTGAAGAACTCTCATACGTCTTCTAAGAGGCACATTTAAAAATCTTGCTATTCTAGGAATGCTGAAAAAGGAGGCAGGTAACACATTCCTCTGAGAGGTAGTATAGTACAGAGGAAATCACCAATCAATCAATAAACATTAATCAATAAACATTTATTAAGTGCCTCCTATGTGCCAGGCACTATGCTAATTACTAGGGATAGGCAAACGATAGTCCTTGTCCCTGACAAGCTTACAATCTAATTGGGGGAGAGAAACAATATGCAAATAAATATAAACAAGCTAAAAAGAAAGAGGACCTACTTTGGTGGCAGCAGACCTCTACTCAAATTTGTCCTCTGTCATTTTCTGGGCAAGTTGCTTCATCTCCCTGTGACTCTGTTTCCTCACCTGTAAAATGAGGGTGTATGAGTAAATGGCTTCCAAGTTCCTTTCCAGCTCTAATAGCTGCTCATTTTAATGCCTGATGATATGGGGGTGATACGAAGAAAACCTACCCCGATCTGTAGATCTCTGATAATTCTGTTACCCAGTCTGCAACCATCATCCATTGTTTGGGATTAAAAATACTGCTTCTTTTTCTAACCCTGAAAGTAGACTCTTACACAGTAAGGGTTTCTCTAAGTGAATTAATAAAATATGTGTATTTCTACCTTAGATAACCAGATTGCAGAGAGATTCTACCTGCTAGGTACTTTTTCTCCCTAGAATCAACAGAGCACAGTGAGAGAAGCACTGGATTTAAGAGACCAAAGATCTGCCTTAGAACTCTGATATTATAAACTGTGTGACCACAGACAAGTGATGGTTTAACTGGATCTTAAAGGATGGTAGGACTACGATGGCCAGAAAGGAGGGATGAGGGAATCCCGGGCAGCTG